AGGGCTTGGGGTTTGGAGTTGAGGGTTTTAGGGTTTAGGGTTTGCATGGGGTTTGGAGTTGAGAGTTTAGGGTTTAGGGCTTGGGGTTTGGAGTTCTGGGTTCAGGCCTTAGGGCTTTGAGGTTTGGAGTTCAGGGCTTAGGGTTTAGGCGGCTTGCCTCAGAGGTTTCCGTCAAGGGTGCCCTGAAAAGGGCTCCTTAGAGGGGTTCCGTGAGAAGGGTTCGTTTACGGTCTTAAGGTTCGGAGTGTTTAGGTTTAAGGCTTCTTTCCCTAAAGGGCTTCCTATAGAGAATTCCTTCAAAAGGCGCTTCTTCAAAAGGTCCTTTGGGTTTCAGGCTAAGGACGTTCAGGTTTAGGGTTCTTTCCTTAGAGCGCTTCCTGCCATAATTTTTTCACCGGTTACTTCAGGGGCTCCTACGGGGGGTAAGAGTTCTATAAGGCTTCCTTCCTAAGCTCCGTTAAAGGGTTCCTGGGAAGCTCCCTTCCACAAAGAAAATTCTAAGTCTCCTTGACGGCTTCGCGGTTTAGGGCTTGAGGGACTTCTCTCCAAGGCAATCCAACAAGAATCCCAGAGAGCCTCATACCTCTTTCAATGAAGGGCTTAGGGTTCAGAAGTGTCGGTGTTCTGCTAGGGGTACTTTTGGGGGGTGCTCAAAGGGTTATTATATGTAAGGGGCACTATAATATAAGGGCTTGAACCGAATACTGCACGTGTCTCTGTAGGGGGTACGGAAAGGATTTCTAAAAATGATATCTATAAGGATTCTACAATGATGCTTGCAAGTGAGGATTATTGAGCATTCAGGGTTTGCTGGGCCCCAAGCGCTTTCGCACGCTGCCTGTTTCGGCTGCCGCGCCTCAGGGGTGAAAGCATCTGCAAGGGCTTGGAGCTGGGGGAAGTTACTACACCCTAAACCCTAAACCCTAAACCCGAAACCCCAAAACCGAAACCCCGAAGCCTGTAACCCTCAACCCCAAACCGATTCATTGGCGGCTCGAAGTCTTAAGCGAGCTTGCAGGGCTGCATGATGGTTTTAGGGGTTCAGCCAAAAACCCCAAAACCCCTAAACTCCTAAAACCCAAGACTGTAAACCCCAAAACCTGTAAACTCCTGAAGGGTTCAGGGGCTCAGAGTCTTTGCTGATCTCCATTCCTAGTAGGATTTTAGGGCTCTCAGGGAGGCCAGGGCTTCTCAAAGGAACACCTCTTAAACACTTTAAACCCTAAACCCGCTAACACCTAAACCCCTAAATCCCTAAATACCCCAAACCCTAAACCTAAACCCCAAACCCTAAACCTAAACCCCGAAATACCCTAAAACCCTAAACCCGCTAACACCTGAGATAGGCATCCCGAAGATCTGTAGTTCCGCACAGAGAGCCGAATCCTGAACCCCAAACCCAGGACTTTAGGGTTTAGGGTTTAGGGTTTAGGGTTTAGGAATTTCCCAGGCCCTGGGCTTATCGGCATTGATGCCAGCCAAAAGCAGAAGCATCCTAGCCTCGCAGCGATCAGCAGTTGTTGGGAATTGGGGAATTCTGACGGGCGGAAACGAGTATGAGAGTGCAGGGCCCCTGGGATAAGAGCACAGTTTTAGGGACAGGGACACCGAAAACAATACTCACCAGCATTAGGCCGAGGTTGATGATGAAGAAGAAGATGCTGGTGATGATGGTGGTGATGACGATGATGGTGATGATGGTGATGAGGATGATGAGGATCACGGGGATGATGAGGATGATGATAACAATGATGATGATGATGATTATGATGATGTTGCTGCCGATGATGATGATGATGACGATGATGATGATGATGATGATGATGATGATGGTGATGGTGATGGTGATAGCAGTGATAATGAGGACAAGTATGCTGCTGCTGATGATGATGCCACCGATACTGTTCCGATGAGTCGCAAGGACGAGAAGGCCTGAACTGAAACGAAGGGGGATGCGCCGACAACTGAAACAGGAGTCCTTAGTCCTTCGGTTGATGGACAAAATCCTGCATGACCTTTTAGGGTTTAGGGTTTAGGGTTTAGGGACCTTATATACCTAAACTATGCGACTTATGGTATTATACTATATTTGGGTCATGCAGAATTTTGTCCATCAACCGTTGCAGCTTACGATCGGACAGGTAGTTCCTTAAAGAAGCGGACTTTGCTTCAACTGGCAACTTCTCACAAATCAAAGATCTGACGCCCACGGCTCACAGCCCAAAGCTCCAGTCTTTCGGCACTTGAGGCTTTATTTGTGCTGGGTTTAGGGTTTTTTTTTTTTTTAACTCCTTTTTCCGAGGGTTTAGGGTGTAGGGTTTGGGGTCTAATCAGGCCGAATCCCCGCGGCATACCCGAAACCCAAGCTGCCCGAAACCTTAACCCCAAACCCTGAACTCTTGAGCCCTCATTGTTGGAACCCTGTATACAACCCCAGGTAAGACATAGTATGCCTTGAAAGCCTAAAACCCTAAACCCTAAACCCTAACCCTAAAAAATACAGCCTCGCCCGCTCTGTCCCCGGAGGCTCGGAACGCCTCGAGCTGGCCATTCGCCTCAGCTTGAAGGCCCTGGGGATAATGGGTTTGGGGTTCAGGGTTTAGGGTTACGGTTACAGGGCTCATTTAGGGTTGAGGGTTTAGGGGTTAGGGTTAGGGTTTAGGGTTTTAGAGTTTGGGGTTCAGGGTTTAGGGTTTAGGGTCTAGGGTGCAGGGCTTAGGGCGGATATTGGCTTATGACAGGATGTTGCTACTGATGAAGTCGGAAGTGCTGCTGGCTCGAGCGCTACCAGCTTGCATCATGAAGGTGATGGTGATTCAAGACTCAAGCTATGATATCGATCCCCGTGGTACCATTTTTTTCCTGACCACCTTCATCCTGATCCCGCTCAGAGCACCAGCAACGCTACATGGCCCCGTAGAACCCAGCATTGCAAGGGCCTTCACCCAAAACCCCAAACCCGAAACCCTAAACCCTAAACCCTAAACCCTAAACCCCTAAACCCCTAAACCCTAAACCCTAAACACCCATCGCCAAGGCTTCTGCAACTTCGTGCGCCTCCTTCAATCGGCCCTGACCACCCCGGAACATTCCGGGTTCAGGGTCTAGGGCTTAGGGTTAGGAGCTTAAGTCATGGGGTTTTGTGCTGATGCGGCTCGGGGGCTGTGGGGTTACAAGTTTTGAGTTTAAGGGCTTAGGGTACCCTAAACCCTAAACCCTAAAACTTTAGGGTTTTGGGTTTAGTGAGGTCTAGGGCTCCGAGGCGTTGGGTCGTAGAGGCCTTTGTAAGCAACTATTGGTAGTTATGCGTTGCAGACAACTACAATCCTTTATGAAATCTATGAGGTGTCATGCTCAAACTCGCTTATGACTACATTAAGCTCCTAAGCTGTGTGAAATCGAACGGTTACTTCGCGCTTGAGGGCTGGATATACTGGACTTAAATTAGCTTCAGCTGACCACAACCGATGAAGGAGACAGTTGCGGTTTTGCATGGTTTAGGGCTTAGGCTTGAGGATGTTTGGGCATTTGTTGATGTTGCCTTCTGCCAAAGCTGTGCTGCCGATCTCGCTAATGCCTTGGCTATCCTTCGCTACCGGTGCCCGCTTGTAAAAGTTCGCATGCAACGGCATCTTCTGGGCAACAGGCCTAGCTCTTGCGGCACGGGCCTCACTAGCACAGGAGCCTCTATCCTTGCTACCTAGATGAAACCTGTCAGCCCTTTGGCCCCCCAAAATGACCAATATCTGTAGTAACCCCTTGGTTCAACTTGATAACTTAAGAATCCAAGTGCACGGCTTGAATAAGCCCCCTGGTTCAACTTGATAACTTAAGAATCGAAGTGACAGATGATTCCCACGGAACTCCAAAATTAGGCCGCCTGCTCCTGGAAGCCCTACTCAACTCTATAGTTCTTCAGAGCTGCTAGCAGCCACTAGCGCGCAAGCCCACGAATTTTTTAAATCCAGGGCTGTGGGTTCAGGGCACAGTAAGGCTTGAACTATCGACATCTACAAAGAAGGAACAGAGTGAGAAGAATTATTCATAGCCCCAAAGACATCTGCGGGAATCCCCTTAACCCTAAGCCCCAAACCCCAAACTTCGTTCTGGCGGGGCTTGCCACCAGGATTCCACACCGCAGTTCCCAGAACCGAAGCTGCGCATCCCTAAACCCAAACGCTGAGACCTCAATGATCGTTCAGGGATTGTAGGGTGTAGGGCTTAGGGCTCCTACGACTTGAAGATCAAACTTACATTACATTTCGAGGTACTGTTAACATACGGATCATGAAGGGAACCCTTGACGAATAAACACCACAGAAACCCCGGCTTCGGATCAATCGCGCTTGCAAGCACATCACCAAACCCCTAAGGCTAAAACCCCCCCAATTTCATGCAGGGGCCTGAAGAATAGCGCTCTGGGTATGGATTCTGCTATGACTGGCTACTAGTAGAGTAAGTTCAACATGGAGCCCAAAAGAATAAAGCCACAGCCCCCAGGCGGTGTCTTTTAGAAGAGAGCTCCGGGTTGATCCGGCTTCGGGAGAGACCCGTCAAAGGCGGAACCTGGCGTTCCTGCCTTCGCAGGTTGTGTTCATAGCCTGGAGCGCCTTTAAAAAGAAAAGCATCCTCAGAGTCTGATCCGGGATAGTCCGGCAAGGGTGTGAGGATGGCCCTGTGTGCACGATCATTTTGAACATAGCATCCCATCCTGTTCTTTCGTAACATTGCTTGAAAGCCTTGAACCTTCGGTTTCCGCAGATGATGTAGAGCTTGCCACTCCATTCCATCGCAACCAAGGCGGGGATTTCATAGCTGCTGGCTTCCCTGCAGAGCAGTTGCTGCACCGTTGCTTCGACAGGCTGCCCCCGATGTGCTCCATGAAGGAAGACATCGCTCACCTCATCGTGCGAAAAGCGGATGCGCGGATCACTGGTATAGTACCAATCCAAGCATTCTGCATAGTCGCGCTCCGCCTCTGGATTTCTTGAAGGATCCAACCGCCACAAAGAATGCAGTTCTCCCTTCAGAATGTCCTTCAGAAGCAGCTTTTGTAGTGGGGTGCATGCGTCAGGGCTATCTGTAGCAGCGTTCCGCGAAATCGCTTTGTCGACCGCCTGCTGCAGGTCCGGGGTATTCGCCGACCTGGGGACTAGACCAAGGTTACTCTCAAGTGAAATTCGAGACGTGACAGCTGCACCGCCTTCTGAAACCCAAAACAGCCCCAACCCGGTTGAAACTTACAGCCTGGAGCCCTGAAGAAGTTTCCGTCCAGAGACAACACCCACCTCCTGAGTTCCTTCAGCTCCGAACATGGCCGCCGTTCTTCCAGCCAGGCGCGAAAGGCCCTCCGAGACTCTGCCTGCAAGGTCCACGCGTGGATGCCGGGAGCTGGGCGCCGGAAGTCTTCCTCGCGAAGGCCACGGCACTGCTTGAACTCCTGGGGAACATGAGACATGGTGGAGCTTCTGTATGGGTAGTTCTAAAAATTAGGGCCTTTTAGGATCCGTTGTTTAAAGGGTGCTGTACTGTTGTGGTGACCTAAAAAAGCACCCGAATTTAGACAACTACTGGTTTCGCGCTCATGGATAGCACTCCGGAATTGCATGACTTGTAAATAAGGGCCCGCTGGGAGACCTAGTATGATATCTCTTTAGGGAATGAATATATATATATATATATA